TGGTACGCGGGCCTCTCGCTGTTGTGGCCTCTCCCGTTGCGGAGCACAGGCTCCGGACGCGCAGGCTCAGAGGCCATGGCTCACAGGCCCAGCCGTTCTGCTGCATGTGGGATCTTCCCGGACTGGGGCACGAACCCGTGTCCCCCACATTGGCAGGTGGACTCGCAACCACTGTGCCACCAGGGAAGCCCCTTAACGTGCTTTTTTAAAGTAATCTAGTTTTGAGAGTATTTTTAAAATTTTGTTTATATTTTATTCAAGTACAGCTATTGTACAAGGTTGTGCTAATCTCTGCTGTACAGCAAAGTGACTCAGTTATGCACACACATACATTCTGTTTTCATATTCTTTTCCATATGGTTTATCCCAGGAGATTGGATGTGGTTCCCTGTGGTCTACGGTAGGACCTTGTTGTTTATCCATTGAGAGTATTTCCTAAAGCTCTTTGGATCACATTAGAGAAAAGAGAGATGAATAAAAAAAAATTTTTTTTTCTTTTTAATCATGTGTGTTGAGAGCAGAACTGTCAGTGGCCGTGAGGTGTCACAGTACAGGCAAGACGCGGCCATGCCCTCCGGTGTCTCACAGTTAACATTCCCTGGGGTCGCGCTGATTTTCGGGAGGGAAGTTTGGTTGCTCTCTGAGGCTGAGAGCATTCTTCAGTCCTGGGGTGGCCTGGTTTTGTGACGGCCAGAGGGGTGTCTTTTGCACATTGTACTGACCCATTAATCTCTCGCCTGCAGATCCAGGTCACTGGGATCGGTACCACTATGGTTCTCGGTCCAGGGACCCCCGCGCCTATGACCGGAGGTGTTGGTATGATGCTGAGTACGATCCGTATAGGAAGGAAAGCTATGCTTATGGGGACAGGTTGGTAGAATAGATTTTGATAAGGAGGGTGGGTCGTGAGTCAGCTGCGCTTCTGCGTCTGTGCCCTCGGGTCTTTGTAATTCACTCAACAGCTACAGTTGTGTCTGGCTTCCTGGGGGGCGGTCACCGTCGGGAGGAACGGGATGAACTGGCCCTCCCAGTGGCTCTCTCCTTGGGCTCTTGGAGGAGGACTGGCCTCAGAACCAGCGCTGCGCGTCAGTTCATCCTCCTCTTCTCGGGTCCGTGAGAGGGGTGACCACCTCAGACGGACCCCCAGCCTGCCTCTCTAACCCTAAGGCGGGGTCTGAACTTGGCCTTGGGATGTGGCGACTCCACTCGAGGGTGGGCTCTGACGAGCGCTGTCCTTAGGATCGGGACTGGCGGCGGAGGGGACCTGGGGGGTGGGGCTCACTGCCGTGTGGCACGGGAGCATAGGCCCTGGAGGCACTCTCCCCGAGCCCCGGCCTCTGCCCCTCTGCTTCCCCAGGCCTGAGAAATACGATGACCACTGGAGGTACGACCCCCGCTTCACCGGGAGTTTTGACGACGAGCCCGAGCCCCACAGGGACCCTTACGGGGAGGAGGTGGACCGGCGGAGCGAGCACTCAGCGCGGAGCCTGCACAGCAGCTTCAGCTCCCACTCCCACCAGGTGGGCGGGCGGGGGCCGGCCCAGGCCCCAGGGTTCTGGTGGCCGCCTGGGGTCCCACCGCAGGCGTGGCAAAGAGACTTCACCTGTTTGCTCTTTGCTTTCTAAGAGCCAGGTGTACAGAGGTCGCAACGTGACTGCTGGGCCCTACGAGGCGCCCCCTCCACCGGGCTCCTTCCACGGCGATTATGCCTACGGCCCCTATGGCGGCGATTTCCACGGCACCCCAAGCTTCCCAGAGTACAGCTACCCTGCTGAGGCCAGCTGGCCCTCCGTGGAGCAAGGTGTGTGTGGCGAGGCCCAGCGTGCCCACAGGGGCAGAGGGAGGCCGAGGCACACCTTGGGGCGGCGTCCCAAGCCTGGGATGGGAAAGAGGGACTGAGTCGTCACCAGGATTGGAATTGGCGATGGCCTGGCCTGGGCATCCCTGCCGAGCAAGGGCCCTATGCCACCACGTGCCCGTCCTGAGGGGCAGCGCTTGCCACGCTGGGCTGCTGGTGCCCCGTGGGCTGCAGTCTGGCTCACAGGCCTGGGAGCTGCCCGGCCTGTCCATCGTGTCCACTTCAGTGTGGCTCTGACCTCAGGCTCCCCTGCCATGTTCTTGGGCAGGGCCTCAGTGTAGCCCCAGTGCCGACCACACGGGCACTTGGATCTTGGAGGGAAACTTGAAAAATTCCAGTTCACACGCTTATCACACAGGCCACATTCTCAATTCGCCTTTGAGATATTTGATCAAATGCTGTTTCTTGGAAAACTGCACAAGTATGTGAAGTTTTAGAACATGACGGTATAAAATATAAAATCATGGACTTTCTTAAAGCGTTATTTGATTAAAAATTTCACCTCCTGTTCGGCTTGAGGTGTTTCACTCTTGGTCGTTTTCCTTGCCGCCCCCTCCGATGCTCGTGGTCTGAGGGTGAGGCTGTGAAGAGCGCTCAGGGCGCAGGGGCTGAGGGGCCACCTGAGCAGCAGGAAACACAAGCACTGCTTTCTGTGAACAGTGCATCCTGGTGGCTTTTAAAGGAGCGTTTTCATTTTAGAGGCGAGTATTCTCACTTTTAACCATTAGAATGTTTTTCTGAGATGTGTTTAAGTTCTATTTTCTAATAGGATATTTAACAATTACTAACTACAGTTGAAAGTCAGTTCATCTTGATAATCCGTGATTCCAGCTGCATGGGCATCTTGAAAATCTCAGCTGTTTATTTAGTTCAGAAGCATTAAAAAGTGACATACGGGTTGTTTCTTTCTCATTTTATTTAAATGTAGCTCCATCGAGACCAACTTCTCCTGAGAAATTCTCAGTGCCTCATATCTGTGCCAGGTTTGGTCCTGGGGGTCAGCTCATCAAAGTGATTCCAAATCTGCCCTCAGAAGGACAGCCTGCGTTGGTTGAAATTCACAGCATGGAGGTAACTCCACGGGGAGAAGTCGTGCGTCGCCCTTCAGGTCGCACGCGCTTTGCAGTTTGTCATCTTTAGCTCGTGTGCTGTTGTCTGAAGAAACAAGCTTGCGGAATGTTTATTCCCGTGAATCTTCTGTTTGTAGATTGTTTCATTTCTGCTTGATCATCTTTTTCCTCCCGGAAGTCAGCATGTTAAGAATCTGCTCTGGGTGTTGTGTTAGATTTGGTTATTGTATGTTCATTTTCTATCTTTATTTGAATTTCTGATTTTGGAGTGAGGACCCTGTCCGTGCTCATTTTAGTGGTGATTCTGGAGAGTGGGCAGAGGTGCCTCATGATCTCGGGAGGCTGGCGCAGGGCGCCCTGCTCCGTGCCCTGGCAGGCCTCTTCCATCACGTGTGTCCAAGCCCTGCCTCAGCGTCTGGGGGGGGGCGGGTCTAGCTGCTTGAACAGAGCCTGAAAGTCACTGTTGTGGAGCAAGCTGCCCGCGCTCCACGATGGAGGCTTTGCCTCCCCAGCTGCAGGGACAGGCCGTCCTGAGGATGGCGTCCGCTCCCTCTATCTGCGGATGTAGCCAGGCCGGGCGCTGACCTGCCTGCCACCGTGAACAACTCTCTCTCTGTCCCCTCTCCTGTCCCCACCTCAGACCTTGCTGCAGCACACGCCAGAGCAGGAGGAGTTGCGGGCGTTCCCGGGGCCTCTTGGCAAGTACGTGCCCCACGAACGCGTCCGCGGTGCCTTTCCGCCGGCGGTGCCGAGCACGGCCTCGCAGATGCAGTGGCTGCTGTTCACCGAGTGTGTGTTCTTTTTGCAGAGATGACACCCATAAAGTGGATGTTATTAATTTTGCACAGAGCAAAGCTGCAAAATGTTTACAGAATGAAAATTTAATTGACAAAGAGTCCGCAAGTCTTCTTTGGAGCTTTATTGTTCTGTTATGCAGACAGAACGGGGTACGTGTCTCCTTCCTTGTAGAACTGCTCTTCTCGTGGGCCTCTAGTGCCGGGAGTCCTCAGCACCCCCGAGGAGGGTTAGGCAGGATTTCTATACCAGGCTGCACCGTCCAGGGGCTCCCCCAGGACAAGTGTCTCGGCGGCGGTTTGGGGACATGGGAGCCAAGCAGGGTGTGTGGTTTGGGGTGAAGGGCGGTTTGGGCTCCCGGTCGTCGGCCCGTCCGGTGCATGCGGTCTGCCCGCCTCGCTGCCGGCCGAGTCGGGGGCGGCCCTGTGCCGAGGCGGTCGAAGTCGCTCGCCCGCAGAGGCCCTTTCTGGGCCTCCCCCGACCAGGACCAGGGCCGTCCTGTCGCTCCTGCAGGAGGTGCTGCTTGTGGTTAAGCCTGTCTCCCTTCCTGCCCCTGCTGCCCCTCGCAGACCGTGGTGGGCACAGACATTGCAGAACTTCTGTTACGAGACCACCGAACCGTGTGGCTTCCTGGGAAGTCGCCCAGTGAGGCCAACCTGATCGATTTCACTCATGAGCCTGCGGAGCAAGTGGAGGAGGAGCCCGGGGAGGCCCAGCTCTCGTTTCTCACTGGCAGCCAGGCCGCCGCCACCCTTGAGAAGGACACGGAGCGGTTCCGAGAGCTGCTGCTCTACGGCCGGAAGAAGGTGAGTGGCGTGGGGCGGGGCGCGGGGCGGGGCCTGCTCTCGGGGCGCCAGCGTCTAGGGCGGGACGCGCTGCCGGGGTCTTGTTCTGCAGAGACTGTCTGGCACCTCGTGTGTCATGTCTCTGAAGGTGCGAATAGTGGCTTCTCCAGCGCCGCTGGCGTCAGAGACGTGCAGGTTCCGTTTTTAGTCATCTGACAGACACGTAGATTGAGCTCAGGCTGCACCCCTGCCGTGTGTAGTGTGTCTCGGGGTAAACACGTGCGTCACACAGAGGCCGCGTTCTCACGCAGTTGGGGTGAGCTCACCGCACCACCGCGAGTGGGTGCTGGGCACAGCCCGGGCCCAGGTGGGGAGCGCCTTGGGGACACGCCCGGGGTTTGCTCCGAGGGGCACCTGGTGGTGCAGCCGGGCGTGGGGGGTGCACAGTTGGAGTGCCTGCTGGGCTCTGGCAGCGGGGCTCTGGCGGGCCCAGAGTTCTTGGCACTTCTATGTCATGATAGACTGAGAAAACTCATATTTGGTGAGTAAATGATCTTAATGTGGCCATTTTACAGCTAGTTGAAATCTTCTGATCTGTTGCACTTAATTACCATTTCTCTGTTGCAACATTTCTGCTTCCTGGTCACAAGTTTTCTAAGTTGTGGCCCAGATCATTTTGGATACAGGGAGGCTGAAGTAATTAAGGCCCTGTTGGTGCTGAGCACAGGCCCTCAGGGCCCAGGGGTCGTTCAGGGCCTGGGGAGTTCACGTCGCCCTGGCCTTTCTCGCAGTGGAGATGACAGGTGGGAGAAGGCGGTGCTGCTTCTGACGGTGTGCTTGTCCTCTGTGATGGTCATGAAAGCGGGGCTCCTACACGGAGACCTCCTCCCGCAGGGACTCCGCGGCTACCGAAAACGGTGAAACTCGCCCGCTCTTTGTTTTTGGACTGGGAACGTGTGTGTTGGAGCCTTTGATCCGTTTGCTTTTTCATGTGCAACTGAGCCCTCTCCTCTTCCGTGACCGCGCGTGATGACACACGTTCCCTCGCCCCCGTTGTTCTCGGGGTTCAGAGAACCTCTCGATGCCTTGCAGGATGCTCTGGAGTCCGCGATGAAGAATGGCTTGTGGGGTCACGCCCTGTTACTTGCCAGCAAGATGGACAGCCGGACGCACGCCAGAGTCATGACCAGGTGAGGAGTCCGGCCATGGGGACTGTGTCCGGGCGTGCCTGCAGGCGGGGGTCCGGGCCTCGTCAGCTTTGGGAAGCCCCCGGTCCCCATACTCCTGTCGGAGGAAGCTGGGGAGTCCCGTCTGCCACCCACGGCTCTGGGCTTGCTGGTTCCTCTTCCTCGCGTTGTGTTGCTAAAGGATTTAAATTTTTTTTGTTAACTTCAGGCTTTTTAATTCTATAAAATCTCAGCAGGGAATTCCCTGGCAGTCCAGTGGTTAGGACGGTGCATTTCCACTGCTGGGGGCCCCGGTTCAATCCCTGGTCCGGAAACTAAGACCCCGCATGCCGCGCAGTGTGACCGCCCCCCCCCCAAAAAAATAAGATCTCAGTGAATTCCATCGTCTGCATCCTTTATAGCCTTTCAAAGACATTGCAGTGTGTACACTTGGCCCAGGTCAAGTCAGTCACCAAAGCGTCTGAGATGAGACCAGACTAGTTTTTTGTGTCCTGTTTACTGAACCAGGCTGAGTTAGGGCTTTCTCTGTTCGCGTCTGCCCAGGTTCGCCAATAGCCTTCCAATCAACGACCCTCTGCAGACGGTCTACCAGCTGATGTCCGGGCGGATGCCAGCCGCGTCCACGGTCAGTATGGGGGTCCTCACAGCAGCCTCCGCAGCTCAGCCGTCTGTTCAGAGCCCGCTCCCAGGAGGGCTTGCCTCCCAGGCGCGAGGCCGGCGTTTCCATCGTGCTCCTGGAGTTTGAGCACTGCAGAGCTGAGATGGCGGTGCGTTCCAAGGATGAGGGTTTTCTGCTTGTCTCTGGTTTCAGTGTTGTGGAGATGAGAAGTGGGGAGACTGGCGGCCGCACCTGGCCATGGTTTTGTCCAACTTGAACAACAACGTGGATGTGGAAGCCCGGGCGATGGCCACGATGGGGGACACTCTGGGTAGGTCAGACGCCGACATAGAAGGCGGGCCTGGGGCTGCCGTCAGATGCTCGGGACCCCGAGACTGTCCCTCCGTCTGGGGTCTCTCTGGTGTCTCTGTGAGCGCTCTGATCTCCGGGAGATCCTGTGACCGAGGCCCGCCTGCTTTCTATACCTTCAGCCTCGAGAGGCCTCCTTGATGCTGCACATTTCTGCTACCTCGTGGCCCAGGTTGGATTTGGGGTTTATACCAAGAAAACCACAAAGCTTGTCTTAATTGGATCAAACCACAGGTGAGGAATTGCGTAAGTGTAGTGGCATCCGTTTCCCTTAGAAAGGAAAAGCCCCTCCCATGGCTCCACCCAGACTGGCCCGGAGCGCTGGCGCTTCCGTGACCTGCTCAAAGGTGACGGCCGCTTGTGTCCTCCACAGTTTGCCATTTTTAAAGTTCGCGACCAACGAAGCTATTCAGAGGACAGAAGCCTATGAGTACGCTCAGTCCCTGGGGGCGCAGACCTGCTCCTTACCCAGCTTCCAGGTGGGTGGGGCCCCACGGCTCCAGCTCTGACGGGGGGCGGGGGGGCAGGGCTGGGGGGAGTGGGTGCTGACAAGACCACAGTCGTTTAGGGGTTTTATTCAAAAAACGTAAAGAACAGTGAAGTGTTTTCGGAAATCCCGAGGAGATGTTTGATCTGTAATGTTCGAGAATTAAAGTTTGCCGAATTGAGAATTTTGTTAGCATTTTGGTTCTTAATGTTTTTAAGTGTTAAAAACTTTTAGTGTTTGGTTTCAAGTACTTTTCTATCAGTTGTGGACCATGTTTTGGGAGGGTGGTATCTGATTAGGACTGTGCGTGTGTGTCTGAAACGGGGCAGAGCATCGGTGCCAACAGAGCAGGGTGACTGCGCTGGCGGCTCCCGAGAGGCGGTCATCGCGGGGTGCGTGCGCGTGGTGGCACCTTGTGGTCACTCCGTGGTCACTCAGTGGTCGAGAGCCCTGACGGCTCTGGTAAGGGTGTTGAAGAGAGAAAGTGAGTTTCTCAGAAGCTTAGTTGTTTACCCCGATGTAAGGTAGCTCAGGGAACGGGCCCAGCTCTGCCGTGGGCAGGCGTTGGGGACGCGCAGGAGGGATGCGAACGTGCAGGGTAGCGTCAGCCTGCAGGAGGGCACAGGTGATGCTGGGGACCGGTGGGGGGCACGCAGCACCGCTCAGCTCGCCGTCTGTCTGTCTCAGGTGTTTAAGTTCATCTACTGCTGCCGCCTGGCTGAGATGGGGCTCGCCACGCAGGCCTTCCACTACTGCGAGGTGATCGCCAAGAGCGTCCTAGCGCAGCCCCGCAGACACTCCTCAGTGCTTCTCCGCCAGCTGGTTCAGGTAACGTCTTCCTTGACGTCGCCGCGCCTGTGTGCCACATGGGGCCACACGGGGTGCTCGTGACCAGAGGGCGCGCGGGACTGCCTGCTCGGCCCAGTTAAGATCCTACGTGTTCTCGGGCAGGTAGTTGGTGTTTTGCAGCGCAGCACAGGAGCCCTTGGGGCGTCCCGTGCAGAGACTTGGAGGTGAGCCTGGGCGTGAGAAGGACCCCGCCTGCAGGAGGCTCGTGTCTCGAGGCGTCCTCACCTCGCGCTTAGCGCTGTGAGGTTCCGGGAGCCGCAGCCTGGGGTGGGTCCCGGCTGCGGCACCGCGGCCCCAGGCTCTCGCTCCGGAAGACGGAGACCGCGTGACCACCCTCCCGCCGGCGCCCGGCACCAGGGGCCGCGCCAGTGCGCTCCTGCTCCTGGAGCCTCGTTCTTGGAATGTGTCCACGTGACACCAAAAATGTTTTTATTACGGGAACTTCGGGACACCTGTAGAAACAGGGTAATTCAAGAACCCTGTTTCCATCTGGCAGCTTCAGCAGTTAACGCGAGGTCAGGCGTGTTCGGCCCGTGCCCGCCTGCTGCCCCCCAGAGCGTGAGCGTTGCCAGGGCGGTTGGCATCTTGGTGAGTGGAGCTGAGCAGAGGCGGGCTCAGCTCCCGCGGGTCCGGATGCCGTGGGCTCCGTGCCTCTGGCTCGGCGGGCCGGCGCGGTGGGCGCTTGCGCTCCAGGCGGTCAGGGACGGGCCGCGTGAGCCCGCCTCAGGAAGGTCCCCGTAGCGGACGAGGGCTGCGCTTCTGACGTTGCAGGCGCGCTTGCTCCACGTCCCAGTGGGTTTCGAAGGCACGGTTTGGCCGCCGTCGCCTGTGGGAACAGGGTCTTCACCTGCGTGTGTTTCCAGGTCGCCTCCCAGCTGCGCCTGTTTGACCCTCAGCTGAAGGAGAAGCCGGAGGAGGAGGCCGCTACGGAGCCTGCCTGGCTGGTCCAGCTGCAGCTCGTGGAGAAGCAGGTCAAGGTGCGCCGGGCTCCGGTCGTGGGGCCCGATGGGGAGCCATGTTCACGCGGGAGGTGGCGGGTGTGAGCAGCTCAGCTCAGCGGCGCCCGGTGCCCGGCAGGGGGATGGTGCTCCTGGGGCATGGTGGGTCCGGCGGCCGGCCTGGAGACCCTGAGGCCCTTCTCCCTCAGGAGGGCACTGCGGCCTGGAGCCTGGACAGAGCCTGCCCCCCGCGCTGTCCCAGCTCGCCACGCTCTGAGATGGGGCCGTGTGACGGCCCAGCGCCCGCGCAGCCGGCGGGCCTGGGCACCGACAACGCGCTGCTGGCGCCGCCTGTGCCCAGCGCTGACCACTTGAGCCAGGACGTGCGGCTGCTGCCCTCAGGTGAGCCCGCGCCGCCCTGGGCCCCTGCTTCTGAACGTGGAGCATCCTTGTCTTGCTGCCCAGAGGGTCGGGCCGTCTGTCCCACCACTTTGGCCCTCTGCTTTCTCTTTGTCCCTCCCTCCTTTGGTGTGTGCCTACTGGTCTTGCGGCCTTAAAGGTCTGGCTGAGTGGGCGGGTTGTGCAGGAGGTGTGGGGGGACTCGGGGAAGGCAGAGCCGACCCTGGGCCAGGCGGCTGCTCGCTGGGCTGTGTCAGGGTCGTGCCGCGGCTTAGAGCCCACGCCCCATGCTGTGCTGAGTGAGGTCCTCCCCTCGGCCCTGAGAAGGGTGTGTCCCGCTTCCCTAAACCAGTGACAGCCCGGCAGCTTCAGACTTTGCGCTTGGACGGTTGGTTCCTTGGCCCTCGATGAAGGAGGCGTGCCCTGCGGAAGCCACTGGAGTGAGCACGTAACCTCAGGCTTTCTCTTGTCCGCCGTCTTCCCGCAGCTCCACTGACGCTCCCCGACGGTCAGCCGGCCTTCCCCGCCAGGGTGCTGATGTACCCAGTGCCACCACCCGTGGGCCCTGTCGAGCTGGGGCCTGGCTGTGGACCCCCAGGGGCTGCACTTGGCCTTCCAGAGCCCTCTGGGCCTGATCCTGTGGCTCCGTACCCAGGGCCTGGCCTGCCATCTGGCGCACCATCTCTCCAAGAGACTGAACATCTGCTCCCGGAGGCCAGGAGCCAGGACGCAGGTGGGTCTGCGAGGTGCCGTCTGGAGAGCAGAGCGAACTTGGCTTTGGCGTTGAAGGGGCTATAACTGGTAGGAGAGACTTAAGTCGTTCGCACTTGGAGCAAAACACATTCCTTCGTGTGTGCCGAACGTTCTAGAAGCTGATTGAAGATCGGTGACTTGACCTTTTGTTGGGATGTGAAGTGGGAGTGGGTGTCCAGGGCGTGGCCAGGGGGGCGCCCGCCTGCAGCCTCTGTGAAGGCACTGGGGAGGCCAAGTAGACCATCTGTCTACTTGGACGGCCCGGCTTGAAAAGAGAAACTATTTTCACGTATTTAGGAACGTTCCATTCTTGGTTTGTGAAGCCCGCATCGGGAGGCGTGGTAGGAGCGGCTGCGCGTGTCTCCAGCAGCGTCTCTTGGCCGCGCCTGCTCCCTCTGCTGTGGACTTACTGATGCCGCGGTCACAGGAGCTCTCGTTTCCCTTGACAGGAATGATGCCACAAGAGGCACCCGGCAGAAACACGCTGTCGGAGCTAGGAGAGGATTTTGGTGGAAAATTCGCTAATGCGGTACTTTCCCACTTCTTCTTTGTGTTTTAAGCTATTTTTCATGAACTCCACTGAATAAGTATTCAAATTCTTTGTTCCTAAGTTGTAAGTAGAAAGATAATACTTAAAATTATCAGATTATCTTTTGGATCGTTTCTTAAAGAGAAAACTTGAATCCTTAAAATGTGAAGAGCTGATGAAAACATTAAGCGGGGAAAAGATAATTTCATAGTGTAGAAATAGGCATTTTAAGGAGAAGAAATGCTCGTCTACAGTGAAACTACCTTGTCAATTTTAACTTTTCTGAAATGGAAAAACTTCCCTGATTTCTGCATCTCTTTCTACAAATAGGATGCGTAAAATTTTCAGTGGTGATTTTAAAACCAAGATTCATTTTATCAGACACGCTTGATACAAATACCACCTTGGTGTGCTGTGAGCCCAGTGATGGGGAGTGGGAGGATAAACGCTTTTACATAAACTGCATTCTGGAAGCTTCTTTACAGATACCCTCCTCTTTTGGGGCATCCCATCAGCAGGCGATTGCTGTAGTCTAAGCTCTCCTTACGTGTTCCACCGTTAAAATAGTCTGTCCCCGTGAAAGTAAAAGTGAGAGTTAACTGTATTGAAGACAGTCTCAACCCAGGGATAAATTTTTTTTTAAATGCTTCTATCTTTTAAAATGCCCACTGCCACCCCCTCTAAGCAGTCTTCTCCTCGGAGCACATACGTATCCCATCTCCTCCAGCCCAGCAACCCCATAGAATTCCCGAATCCGCATCGTGAGTGCCGTGATGCTCCTAGAAGGCGTTGCCCTTGAGTCCAGTCGGCCCCGGGGAAGCGGGGGGCCGCTCTCACCAGCCCCTCCTTGCCTGGCTCTGCTCACCGTAGTGACGTAGCCTCTCGTGAAGTCTTAAGAGCTCCTGGGGAGGTGCCCCCGGTGAGCCTGCCTCGTGTTACCTTGGGACAGGGCTCCTCAAGGACGTCCCAGGGCTCCGAGTCACCTCCGGGCTGGGGGAGCGCTGGCTCAGGGGCCCTGCAGCCGCCTCCGCCTCCGCCACTGACGCCCGCGCCCGACGTGAAGAGACCTGTCCAGGCAGCCAGGAAAGAGACCAAGGAGCCTAAGAAGGTGACTCACAGCCCCCAGCTGGGCGGGGCCGGGGGCTGGGGCCGGGGCTTGGCTCCCCCGTCCTCACGCTGAGGCGAGGAGAAGGAATGTGTTTCTGTTTAAATCAAGCCACGTGTGTTCTTGAGGGGCAGTAAGCGTGTGGCGAAGCGCGAGTGTTTGTGTGTCCGTGTCCACGTGTAAGTCCACCAGCTCAGAGCTGGAGCTGTGCCTGCCTCCCGGACGCCCGTGGGTCCAGGGCCCATCCACATGCTCCCCAGGGGGTGGTCTCTGCCCGACCTCTGTCACCACCGCTTGGGTTCAGCTGTTCCCGACTTCACGCGAAGGAGGTGCCTCCTTGTCGTTGTGTAGCGATGTTGATCGTGTGCGTACGCCGTGGTTTTATGTATCCTTTCTCCCAATGCAGGACGTTTGTGGGTTTTTTAGTTTGGGATTATTAGGAATAAAGCCACATGAGTGTTCTCGTCTGTGTCTTTTGGTGGCAGATGCATTTGTTTCTCTTGGGTGTATCCCGAGGTCACAGGGCAGCTGTGTGTCTGGCTTTAGAACGTCCTGCCAGCCCGTCCTCCTCAGTGGCTTACCAGGCACCCCTTCCAGCGGCCCCGTCCTCACCCCGGGGGCTGCGTTGTTGGCCATTGCGCTGGGCTTAGTGACACTTGGCTGTGGGTTCGTGTGCTTTCGCCCCCTCCGCGTCCTCAAATGTGTGGGGCTGGCTCAGGTCTCCTCCCGTCCTTCGTGGGGTCCTCAGAGGTCGGCAGGCGTTGCTGCATGTTGTGGACGCAGGTCCTGCCAGATGTGCGTGTGTGCACACCTCCAGCCTGTGGGTGGCTTTTAACGGCTACTGTCTTAGGTAAACACAGTGTGATTCAAAACACACACGGGCCGTGAGGTAGAGCAGGACCTCCAGACGGGGTGTGACGTGCAGGGGACTGACCCCCCCGCCCAGCACGGGGCCGTCCGCCCTGCCGCGGATTGAGAGAAGCGGGTGAGGGGGTGTGGAGTTGCTGCTGCCTTTTGTGGTAGACGTCAAGTGCAGTGTATGAAGAATAAAGTCAATGTCCCTGAAGCCTAATCTCTGCCAGCCTCAGAGTACGAGGGCCTCTTCTTAGAGCCCACGCGGACTCCCCAGCCGTCGCCACTCCTGCGGGGGGGTGTCTCAGGCTGCTCATTTGTGGGCATTCAGACATGAAACCCTCCAAGAGGCAAGCTGTTGTTCTAATTTTTTTTTAAGTGTGGTAAAGTGTACAGAAAACTTACCACTTTAAGTGCTTGGCTCTGGGGCCTCAAGCACACTGTCGTGCACCCGTCCCGGGACCTTCTCATCTTCCCAGACTGGAGCCCTGCCCCCCAGACTCGCTGCCGCCCGGCCCACATCCGCTTCCCGTCTCCGTGGCTTAGCCGCTTGCAGGCGCGCGGCCGTCGTGCACGTGGGCCACACGGGCTTGGCTGGCGCTGTGTGCTGGGCTCCTTGCGCTCAGCACCAGGCCCTCAGGGTTGTCCTGGTGGTTTTTGTGTCCAGAGCAGCGACTCCTGGTTCTCCCGTTGGCTGCCCGTGAAGAGGAGGACGGAAGCTCACTTGCCGGATGACGAGAACAAAGCGGTGCGTCCCGCCGGGGGCCGGGGCCGGGGCCGGGGCCGGCGCCGGGGCCGCAGCGGCGCGTCCGCCCGCCTGTTGGTGGGAGCGGCGCCTCGGGAGCAGCCAGGTTCTGGTTTCTGATTCTGTCCAGCTTTTGCTACTGAGTTTTCCTTTTACCTTTCACAATCATGGCAGATCGTCTGGGATGAAAAGAAGAACCGCTGGGTGGACACGAACGAGCCAGAGGAGGAGGTGAGCCGGGATCCAGGCGCTCGCTGTGGCCGGGCAGGGAGCCCCGCCCTGGGCAGGAGCCTCCGTCTGCAGGGGTCCCCTTGGGCTCTGGGTCAGCGCGCAGACCCCGCAGTGGTATCTCCCTCCACAGAAGAAGGCTCCGCCCCCACCTCCAACATCCCTTCCCAAGGCTCTGCAAGCTGCCCACCCTGGCCCCGGAGGGCCCCCCAGACCCGCTGTGAACATGTATTCTAGAAAAGCAGGTAACGACGGCCAACCAGAAATCAGAGTTCACTTGGGTAATTTATTTGTCCTACAGATGGGCCAGAGTTCAGCGATGATAATGTGCCCGTGAGGTGGTAGGTAGTTTCCTACCAGGAGGAGTACTGGTTTTCTGAGGAGGAGTCCCCGGGGGGTGGGGGGCCAGCTCTCTAGACTAGAGTTCAGCGTTCCTGGGTGGACCATCGTATCGCTGGGGAGCTAAGGGCGGGGCGGATGCGATCAGCCGGGTCGTGGTGTGAAGTGGGACCCCTCGCCCGGGCAGAAGCCAAGCAAGTGTGCCCCAGGAGGGGCCCCCTTCCGGGCCAGGCCGCCCCCGGGAGCGGAAGCCTGGCCCGGTGCTCTCTGGACACGAGGAGGACGGCGGGGTGACCTCGCTCCCTCTCCCCGTGGCAGCCCGAGCCCGAGCGCGCTACGTGGACGTCTTGAACCCGGGGGGCCCCCAGCGGAGCGAGCCAGCCCTTGCTCCCGCGGACTTCTTTGCGCCACTGGCCCCGCTCCCAATTCCCACACACCTGTTGGGACCAGACCCAGGTAGGCAGCACGGGAGCAGCTGTCTGTGCGCAGCTTCTGACCTTTGGCCTTTTGCTGAGAGCCTCTGGCCTTAATTCTCTGTTAAGAAGAAATAACTACTCACCCACACGCAGAGCGCCCAGGGTTCCCCTGTGCTTGTCTGTGGACTTGTTTCCCTTGGCCTGCCTGAGGACCTGGGTGCAGCTCTCCCCTGGGGCTGTTCCCTCTGGGCCCCAGCGACGACGGAGGCGGGGGGACACGAGTGACTCCCTCCCCCGCTGTCCCCTTCACAGATGCAGAGGAAGCACTGCCTGCCGAGGGGGCTGGCAGGGAAGGGCAGGCACCGACGGGGCGGGCAGCCAAGCCAGAGCCCGCCTCGGAGCCCAAGGTGAGCGGTGCCGTGGGCCCAGGCGGGGGGTCGGGCAGTGGGAATTGGCCTCCTGCCCCGACCCGAGGCGGCCCTGACCTTCCCCAGAGTCTCGTGTACACAGAGCTTATGGTGTGGGTCACACGCGCATTACCTAGTAATTCTGTCTTGCTGAACTGTTTACAGCGAAGAGGGTTGTTTTGAATGATGGTGACGTGTATGTGCAACGCAGTCATTCAGAGTTTGGTCTCTGAGGTTGGTTGGACCTGGATTTCAGCCCTGCCTTCTCCAGTAATTAGCTTTTTTTTTTTTTTTTTTT